CACAAATCTAGAGTTCACAATAAAGTAGTAAATGCCTTGAGTCGTCGGTCGTTCCTTCTCGGAACATTGACACATGCAGTAGTGGGTTTTGAGTCCCTTAAGGAACAATATGCTAATGATCCATACTTTGGTCATATATGGGGTCTTGTCACTCTAATGGCATAGATTCTATTTCCAAGTACTTCTAGGCCTGTTCTTCATGATGGATATTTGGTCAAGCTAAGACTATGGTGTTGGTAGAGGAGAGGTATTTTTGGCCTACGTTGAGGTGTGATGTGAAGCGATATGTGGAACGTTGTCGCATTCATCAAGTTTTCAAAGTTCAGTCTCAAAATACTGGTCCCTATACTCCATTGCCCATCCCAGATGCTCCTTAAGAAGTCAACATGGACTTTGTGTTAGGTTTGCCTTGAATGGCTAGGAGGTATGATTCCATGTTTGTAGTGGTGGACCATTTTTGGAAATGGCCCATTTTATTCCTTGTCGAAACACCTATGATGCGACTCATGTCACAAATCTTTTCTTTAGACAAGTTGTTTGTCTTCTTGTTGTGCCTAAGTTGATGACCTCTGATCAAGATACTAGATTCTTGAGTCATTTTTTTGCAACCTAAGATCAACGACTAGCTAATCTTCGATTACAATTAGGACATGTTTTGAAGAACACTTTAAATTAAACTAATATTAATCATCTACAAATTCAGCTGAGTGTCATCCACAAAGTTGAGTAAACAAACTTGAAAAAAAAAATCAACATGCAATTTTGGAATTTATTTACAGCTTGGTAGTGTCATATGAGATTTTGCATCCGTAAAGGACTATCATTAAAATCAGCTAAGTAAAAATTGATCGTAATCAAAATTTAGAACTAATCCACAACTCAGAGATAAGTAACGGGTAATTTTAAATTTAAGCTGGAATGCATTTGCAACTATTTCGACAGTTTCAGATATTTATATAAAATTAGGGTTTTGTTTTTATATGCACAATTAGTGGAAAGCAAAAAAAAGAAAGAAGGGAAAGAAAAGATGATCGAAGGAAAGAAAGAAGCGAAACGTGAAAAAAAGAAAAGAACGAAGAAGAAGGGGGAAAGGGAAGGAAAAAAAAAAGTACAAGGAAATTATAAACGAGAGAAAGAATTAAGAATGGAGAGGAGGAAATTGAAGGGTACATTGGAAAGGATGGACCGTAGGAGGTGCTACCAAGCCTTCTCTATAGCTTTCAATCAAGTTTCCAAGAAGCCCTTGCTAGGGTTTTCTTTCTTCACAAAATAAGTTCTCCAAAATAATGCATTTACGGGCTGGATGTGCCACTCTCACCTTATATACATATATATATTTTTTAAATGACTTGAAATATGCTTATCAAAATAAAGTAACTAAATGACCAAATTGCTCCTAAATTCTCTACACAACCAAAAGATATAACTAAAGTAACTATAAGTGCAAATATCATTGGCTTTTCACTCTTAAAAAATAAAATAAAATAAGCTAAAACCCTTAATAAAGTAAATTGTCCAAAGAAGGTCATGATGCCCTCATCAGTTCCCTTTGGGTGGGGAAGAACTCGACTTTGTCGAGTATTCCTCCATGTAATGCTGAAAAAACCTCCCGTCTCCTCCGTAACTCATTGATGTAGAAAACTTGAGAAACAATAAAATCAGCTAGAAATCTCAGCCAAACGCATGCAATTTTTTGAAATTTTGAGGATACTCTAAGGGTTTCTCCCCACTTAGGCTCAAGCCTTAGGCTTTCCTAGACAGTCTTTTTTTTTGAAAAGAGGAATATGTGAGTGCCTCTCTAGCCCATCCACGCCCCTATTTTATAATAAAAATTTATTGTTTTGGATAATATTTATCCATATAATTAACTTTTGATCAGAAAGTCGTAACTTAAGTATAACTTGAAATTAAACTCCTCTCTTTAATTAAAACGTGGAAAAAAGTCCCTAAGTGGTCCAGCAATGAAATAAAAAAAAACAAAAATTTGAAATAGCCTCAAAAGCTGCCATTATCATCATCAGAGCTTTTTTCCAACTATCTGAGGTCAGCTACATGAATCCTGGTCCGTCATTCTGCTCTTTTAAGGACCATACCCTCTGTGAAGCCATAAGTTTTCATATCTTTCTCACTACTTCCAACCATGTCCTTTTGGGCCTGCCCCTTGCCTTTCTTTAGCCTTCCACTTGATCTAACTCGTACCTCATGACAAGTGTTGTACTTGGTCTATGCCATACACCACCGACCCAACTAAATTTACTTTCACTCCTCTTATCCCGTATTGGTGCCACAACTAATTCTCTTCAATGTATTCATTTCAAATTCTATCTCTTCTTGTTTTGTCACTCATCCATCTCATCATCCTCATCTCAGCTACACTCATTATATGAGTATGTTGGTTCTTGACTGCCCAATATTCCACCCCACAATGCAAAGTTGGTCTTGCAGTTGTCTTATAAATTTTTTCACTTCAACTTCATTGGTATGCGGCGGTTGCATAAAACTCCAGTTGCACATCTCCACATCGCCTACCCAACTCTAATTCTATGTGGGACATCTTCCTCAATCTCTCTATTTTCTTGGATTATCGACTCAAGATATCAAAACTGTGATATCTTGCTCTTCCAAGATATTTCTTGGAAGACTACCAAAAATAGAACATTCAAGCTATTCTTGCTCTTCTTGTTCTTTGAAGCCCTCCTAGGGCTTTTGATGTAGAGAACTTGAGAAACAGTAAAATCAGCAAGAAACCAGCTAGAAATCTCAGCGAAACGCATGCACTTTTGAGGAACCCTAAGGTTTTCTCTCCACCCAGGCACAAGCCTAACCATTTTCTAATCATCTCCTAAAATCCTAACAAGTGTATAAAACTATGTAGTCCCAAAAAAACTTAAAACCCTAAAAGAATAACGCTAGAAAATTCGAAAATACATCCGTAAAGTTTAACAAGTCAAATTCAAAAAGAAAGAGAGGCATCTTGTCTTGCATCACACTATTTTGCAAATTAACAAAAAAATGCCTCTTATTTTTAAAACATAGACCCTTCTTTGACAAAAATATAATCGAGAAATCTTTTGAAAAAAACTTTATAAGTCCCCTTTAACTTCTTTTAGCTCCAGCTATGACAACTATGACACTATTTTCCAATTCTAGAAGTATAGATTTCAAATATGGGATTATAAACCACAATGAACCTTTTAGAAAATAAAAATTATTGCTTAAAATTATTTTACTGAGATTATAAGATATTTCTTAAAATTAAAACTCCTAGTAATGAATTCAAAAATATTTTTTATTGTTATCTGAAGCAGGTATTATTTTTAAAATAGTTTTATAAATTTGAATACGTTTTAATTATTTTATTAACACTAAATTGGCAATTTGGTAAAATGTCCAGTATATGCATTATTGGAAAAGGCGATTTAGTAAATATGACGTTCCCTCAAGGTGGGACACATGGACACCTAAAGTCAAGAGTGACCCCTATTACATCTACTTTGTCAGCTGGTGGTTCTTGACATTTTTTTCACTGTAGTGATATATTTTTAAGGGAAATTGAGGTAAATATCCTTTAATTTTTGTGGCATTTAAAAAAGGAAAAAGTTCATATAAGTGCAAGGCTCTAAACAATAAAATTAGGGTGCACCTCAAAAATTTCATTTGAAGAGGTTGTTTTGATGCTCAAATATTCTCAGATTGATTATCTCGACCTCAAGATGCATGGACAGGAGAAAAAAATAGATTTCAAGTTTTGGAAATACTGCATTTGGTAATGCATGTTTGGATCGTCAATTTTCTTCAAGTTTTCATCGATCTACACTATTTTTTAAGCTTTAAAATTTATAGTTAGAGATGAAAATATATTTTATGGCTATCACAAAGATTTCCAGTACGGTAACTACATTTCTCGACAGTATTTGAAGGTGCACTTAACTTTGATTGTTTAGAGCCTTGGCTTTATTCAAACCGCCCCCTTTAAAAAATATCCCCTATTTTTCATATTTTACACTCATGTTCCTTGTTTATCTTTTCTTATTTCTTTCCAAAACAATCTGGTTCGGAAGTTGGAGTTCTGAACTAATGTCTTTTTATTTTGAATGACATCAGTTCGGAATTTGACGTTTTTAACCGTTTAATTTTCTAAAATATTGGTTTGGGACTTCAATTTCTGAACCAATATGTCACTCAAGAAAGAAAAGACACCGATTTAGACCTTGGAGTTCTGAAATGGGGGTATTGGGAGAAATTAGATAAAGAAAAAAACAAAGGAACATGTGCTTAAAATTTGAAAAAATGCGGGACATTTTTAAATATCACAAAAATTAAAGGAGTACTTTAGTTTTTCAAGTTTAAAATTTTTTCTCTAGGTACTTATATTTTCTGTTTTCATCAATTTTTGGTTGAACACTATCATTTCCTTTATATAACCTGTTAATGGTGTAAAGTCGAACCGATCTGCCTCATTTCTTTATATTATGGCAGTTTTAAATCTTGCTTCAAACTTGATAAGAAGGTTGGTCATCATTGTAACTTTGGCATTATCGTCTCAATGATTTTTGTCTATGTAGATTCTGAAAGTTACGATGTATTTGCTTAATGTTCCTTAGGCTCTAGGAGGTCTTAGGCAGACTATTGACATGGATACACACACGTCTATGGTTTTTGGTGTGTGCCAACAGACCAGGTACCCATATCTAACATTTTAGAAACTTACACTCTTCTTGGTAAAGCTCTTTTGGTTTTAACTGTCATTATAGAAGTACTTAAATATGAAATGAAATGCCTCCTTCCCCTTTATCTAAATATGATCAAATGTGTCATATATGGAAGGCAACGTTTGGTGTCGGTGTTTAAGATACTCGTATCCAGCTCTAACATACACATCCGTGTCTTTGTAACATAGGTTGTCGCTCATTACGGCTTTACAGAGTAACAGCATAAACTGAGGCCTGCTACCTATAGCTGTTGGTGTATGATATATATTCGTTCATGTTGGTAAACAGGATCTGCTGCTGGATGGGGTCGATATGATGATGCAGCTGTAGTTAAGGTATGACGGTTTATTCGAGTATACATTTCAATTGTAATAGCATGATCTTATTGCAGCAAGCTATGTGGACCTTATTTGGTGTTTCACAAACTTCATTTTACTTCTTTGGGAGTCCTATGCATTGAAATTATATAGATGTTTGTCATAATAGCTCAAGACCTCCAGTTTCTGATAAGACGTGAATTATGAAATGCCTAGTTCTTCAGCTAAATCTTATTGATTTGTTCATATAATGAAATATGTTTAGATATCAGATCTTCCCTTTTCAAGAAAAACAGGACATGCCTATCATTTCGAGGGACTAGACTTGCAAATTGTATACATTCGTGGTTGAATTTAAACTGGGGCTCTTTCATCTGGATAAAACTTTCTAATATCCAATGCCACTTAAATGATCAATGAGTGATGGATTTTGAAGCACTTACTTTACCTTTCTCCCAATGTTAACTTCAGGACAGGTAATTAAACTGCCGTACAGCTATGCATTGAGTGAGTTGTGCCCTTAAATGGTACTTGGCTAGATGCACCCTCTGCTTTGCCAATGTGCATGGAAATGCCTTTGTGTGGATAAAAGTATTCAATATTTCTGGAAGTTTTACAACATTTCTGCTGGTCTCTGGCTCTCTTTGAATTATGAGAAGAGAAATGTGATGCCGTATACCTCCATCATTGTGTTATCTTGAACGGTTTTTTTCTTCAACTTAGTGAGAGATTGACAATGTAATGGACATCAAAATATTAGACTGGAAAACAAAAAATTTTATATTTGTATTCCTTTCTTTTTCACTGAACAAGCATGACCCCTCAATCTGGGAAAGAAAAAAATAATCCATGCTACTAGTCTTTAGGGAAACACTTGTAAATATTTGATATCTAATAAGAGCTTCCCATTTCATTCAAAGGTTTAAGTGATTTCATTAAACATAATTTTCGGTTGCAAGTTTTTCAATATTCCTTTGTCATGCCATACTTTCACTTGTTTTCCATATACTTATCAGCCAAAATAGTAATTACATTACTTTCTTATATTGGATGGTTTGAGAAACTTGAATTGCCAACTTCTAAAATGCTGGGAATAGTGTTGGATTCATTCTTAGCCCTCATGTTCAGGGTTCTACAAACATGGCCTTTCTGCCCTTTTCTGACCAATACATTATGCAATCCTTATGCATCCCCAATTAGTCCTGTGACTCACTATTTGAAAATTTGTCTCATTTATCTAATTTTGTTCGAGATTCACTATGCTACATTAGGATTACTGTCTTATCCCAAAACTTTGTTTGAGTGATGCTTATTTGGAAACCAGGTGAGTGATTTATATAAACTCCCTGATGTAATGATCTATGAAGGAATCATTTCTATGGAATAATTGCCATCCCTTGTGGCCTAGCAAGAAGATGCAATCACACACTTTTATTTTCACTGAAGAGATTTTGTAGCCATAAATTAAAGACAAAGTTAGTTATTTGTCATTTTTTTTTTCCAGTTGTACAAATGCAGTACAAGCCTTTTTTTTCGTTATGAGGATTATGTATATAAATTTCGTACCACGTTACTATTTATTGTTTTAATTATACTATTTAAATGCATCTAAATGGTGATCTGGCATGTAAAGAAGTAAATATTTTGTTGCTTTCACAATTTTGGTGCCTATATAGGTCTATGAGAAATTCACTGGAGTTAGTGTCGAAGGAAGACCTCCTATTCTTAAGAAAGATGAGGTCCTTAGATATCTTCCTACAAAGTGGCCAGATGATCCCATTGAAGAAATTCAGAATTTGAAACGTCAAACTTCTTCGAAAGTCCTCGTAGTGCTGGATGATGACCCAACTGGCACTCAAACGGTTCATGACATTACAGTTTTAACTGAGTGGTACACGCTGCAATCTGTGCTTGTTAAGATTCATGCATTTCATGTATAGATCTTTCTGTTATGACTTCGATATCTATAAATTTGTAAGGTTTTAGCATTGATCTACAAATGAGTAATCGAGCTGATTTGGTTCTAAATTAATTTTTTATTGGAAATCATTATGCATTTGACTTGCTCATTATCCTGACTTTAGGAGAAAACAGCTCAGTATTGCAAGCAATCTGTTGATTTTCCCACAATGGGGACATCCTACCTTATTTAGAAAGCCTTGCCTCTTGACTTTATCAAGGGTGCATTGTGCATGGGTTCCTCATACCACCATAGTCTATGTTTTTTATTTTTCCCAATTCTTTCCTTACAATCAAGGCACTGAATACTAGGCATGCTCGCTTAGAACTCAACTCAGAAAATTCATCAAGGAGCTTCATTTGATGTTCATCATGTTTTTTCCAGCAGAATTGGGACGGATTCACCAGAGTAATTTAGCTTGGATAGATTTGCAATGTGAGCATGCTAAACAGGTCTGTAGCATCAGGTCTGGCATATAAAATGCACCCACTTAACCTAAATCTTCCATTAGATATACACAATTGGCCTGACAAACACTACAAATTTGTGACAGCGAGAAATTCTCTCTTTTCCTAAATCATCATCCTCTCCATTTTCCATTCTAGCAGTAAGGTTGTTTATGATCCTGTAAAATTTCCTTAAAAAATTTGTACAAATGCCATGGTTTTTGGCATTCACTTTTCTTGCTCCTTCACATTCTTTGAATCTCCTTTGATTGCCATTTTCCTCCGTTTAGCATCCAAGCTTTTCAAAACAGTCAACTATGCTAAAACCTCATCCTAGTATGATTCACAATTGGGTATAGGACCTGATAAGTTTAACAAAACGTGCCATCTTTGATCCTTAATGATCCCTCCATCACCAGTCAGACCTTGGCTACCCCGAGCACTCCCATTAAAATTTAATTTCACTACATCTTGTTAACTTCAGTAGTTTCTCCATAACTAAAGAAATCCAATGGTTGTAATAATCAGCTATTGAATGTGTTAAGAATTCTTCATCGTTCTTGCCAACAAGATATTGTTTGATATTATTCTGTTATTTATCCAGCATACCAACTGGTACCGTGACCATAAAATTGCAATCATTGTAAATCCCCATATAATAGCTCCAGTTTTTGGCAGTGGGGGATAGATCCATTTGCCTAATATCTATTTGGAGTTTACCCATTGTGAGTTAAAAATACAGAGACAGAAAATAAAGGATGAAAAAAGAAGAAAAAAGTTGAAGGTTTAGAGAAAGGGTGAGGCTTTGAGAAAGAAGAGATAGAAGAGAGAGATGGCGAGAATGAGAGATTGTTACGTTGAAATGAGATAGAGGGCGAGGCAGTCATGGTGGTTTATTATTAGCCCACATGCCCCTCTCATCCCTTCTATAATAGTAAATTATGCAGATATAGTTGTCGTCCCATGATGGGTGTCTCTTGAAGAGTAAGCGATTTGAGCAGCTTTTGTCGAGCCTCTACACCCAATAACCATCAAGGTTCTTGTCGCTCCCAATTTGCAAAGAGAGAATGTCTCCCTTGATGCTCAAAAGATACATCATTCCTGCATCCCTGGCTAGAGCACCATCTGGTACCACCCCTAACCTATCTTCAAAAGCCCGCTTAATCATTTAGCCGATAAGGTAAACTTGCAGCCCTCATAGACAGTTGGGTAGCCTTGGGTGACCTATGGGCAGAAACTGCTTATTTGCACTAAAGAACTATGAGCGTCCCCTTTGCATGGAATGAGGCCCCCTAACCGGGGTTACACTGGCTCGTCTGAGTGAATCTCCGAGCCAAAGAATACCCTAGTAGGCTGCATGCAGTATATACTTCGCAATTATCTCAGTCATCTCTCAATACCCTTGAAAGAGTTCCTATGACTTTCAGGTGGCGCCAGCCATCAACAGGCTCATTATCATAGATGGTGGTATTCGAGGGGATAAATTCATCATATATTTTCCCTAAAAATGAAGAGTCCCCTAATGAAGTGCATATCCAATAGAGAGATATAGGCCTTGCCATGATCCATTTGGAAGTTGTTCGACTCCAAGTCTCCAAGAAAGCTGTGATCATGTTGGAGCAACGACCATAGAACCACGTGAAGCATTGGCATGCTACGATCAAGAAGGTCTTCCTTAATGTATCTTTAATTCACCCCAAATCATCGGCTAACCATGAGTAGTGCCCGTGGAGATACTGATGCTTCTCGTGTGATCTCAAGCCATAATCTTACTATTAAAAGAACTTGCTGGGAACTAACCTCTTATCCAAGATAGGCAAATCTCTACTTGAGTCCACCTCCCTGTGATGATAACGAAATAGGGCCTTGCTATCCCTGCTCAGGTCCACAAGGCCCTCATCATAGCCATACATCTTAAACCTCACAAGCAGAGATGTCTAAGTGATTCTTAAAGGTCATGTCAACTGCAGGTTTGGAGCAAATTGTCTCAAAGGCATAGCCATACGTCTTAAACCTCACAAGCAGAGATGTCTAAGTGATTCTTAAAGGCCATGTTAGCTGCAGGTTTGGAGCACAACGTCTCAAAGCCCTATATCGCAAAAGGAAAGCCCTTGAACAGCTCATGAGGGTGCAACTGCAATCCACTTCAATCATGGAATCCAATCTAGAACTGAGATCTGGAGGGACGAGAGAAACTCACTTTCTTTAAAGTGATAGACGCCCCCCAACTTGGAAAAATTCTAAGATGTAATTCGGTACTAGCGGTCTCACTCCCATGATACAGTCAGATCGGATTAAAAAACCTTGAGTAAAGTTTAGTTGATATTCAATTTGAATAAAGTTTATTTTTGGCAGTAAGTTATTATGATCCTAGATCCTAGATTGTAGTAGGCTTATTGATTAAAAAAGCAGTCCGCCTAGCACCTAGGTGGGCTAGGGGGCCTAGGCGCAACGCCCAGGCTTAGGCGCCCACTTAAAAACTCTAGGCGAGCACCTAGTACCCCACCTAGGCAGGTGCCCATGGTACTGTTCCTGGGCGCCTAGTACCCCACCTAGGCAGGTGCCCATGGTACTGTTCCTGTGCGCCTGCCTAATACCCCACCTAGGAGGGCCGCCCATGGTACCTAGGTAGGCACCCAAAGGACTGCATCCGCCTAGGTGCAAAAGTACCTATCAAGTGGGGTACTTTTGGTGTTTTTTTTTTGAATTATAAGAATACATGAATATGCATTTTTAATGCAAGATCTAGACCTAAAACTTGATTATTTGACACCCTTTGACCCCCTTTGAACTTGGGAGGCTGCTTAGGCGTTGGGTGGCTTAGACTGCCCCCCCTCCTCCCCGGTTGCCCGGTGATTTTTGGATTACTGAATAGGCTTATTTTATTATATTTGTGGCATCCGTAAGTAGAATTTTCTGTTATTAATACAAAAAAAAATATTTTGAATTTATAGCCTGAAATTCTACATAGCTACTTTGTTTACATTTTGTCTCTAGAACGACTCCTGAAGTCTTCCCAACCCTACCATGGACCATAAACCAATTTTCCTAAAAACTGACACTCCTCTCTCTAGCCTCGACCTTTTAGACTTGGACTCGCTTGTTTATAGGAGCTAAATCGCAAAGGCCTTTTACCTCTTCCTGACAGTCACTTAGGGTTTCGACTAGATGGCGAGGCTGGTTTCAAATTGCATAAGAAGTTGCGGCTTCTCAAATATCATTCGTAGTTTCCCATATAATTTTATTTCAGTAAAGAACCCTATCCTCTCTAACATTCAAGACCTAGATTCTCTCAAAGAATGAGAGAATCCAGGTCTCTGTCCATCCCAAAGGGTTCCTTGCGTAGGGACCTTCACTTAAAACTTTTGGACCTCCTCAAGAACGAGGTGATATATTTGTATCTGCTGTTTAGAATTAGATGGCTCTCCTTTGGTGATAGTGTCAAACTTTCTTCTGTAAAATGTTTAGCTCACAGTGTAGGGGCAACTTCATTAGCCAAATCTCTCTAGGTGATCTCTCTCCAATGTCTCAGACATAGTCTCAGCTTTCATCTCCTTCTTCCAAAACCTCTTCTCCAGTGCCTCTAGTCCATGCCCCTACATGTCACAACTTTCCTTACCCTTGATTTCTCCTGAGCAAGCCTGTTGACTTGGAAGGTCCTTCCGAGTTGAAGGGTTGTCATCGGCTATCTTTGTCCCTGGGAAGGTCATAACTCCTGGGTTTGATGGTTTCACAGTCATTATCTTTGCTCATTTCTAGGAAAGATCACCCTGGATTTCAGGGCCTTCTATCACGAATTCTTTTAAAAAGGTATCATTTGCAAAGAGGTGAACTCGACCTTCATCGCGCATATCCCCAAGGTGGAAAATGGGTGCTAAATTAAAGACTTTTGTCGAATTAGCCTTCTAAATTCTTCATACAAAATCCTTTCTATGGCGTGGACACTAGACTCAAGTCCGTCTTAAACAACATTGTCACTCCTAACTAGAATGGCTCAATTTCAATTGTCAGATTCTAAGCAGCATATTTCTTGCCCATGAGGTCATTCACTATAGCCACCATTGTAAGATCCATGGTCTGGTTCAGACCGTGTGGGCTTTCCAATACGGCTATTATGTGTAGATGCGATGTGATGGTTTATGATGAGGATTTGACTCTTGTCCCTTCAGGCCTACCAAATCACATACAAGGGTCATACAGTCTCTTGGCAAACTACACTGGGCATCTCCGACCTTATCAAGGGGTAACCATGCCAACCCTTCTTTGTTTTTCTCTATGCCCAGGTATCTTAGGGGCTTATAACTCAATTGGCGTAGCTCGTCAAGCCTTGTTTGAGTCTCGGCATCATAATTGCCAACTTCAGTCCCTCTGGACAGTAATCCTTTGGTCCCTCTTGACCATAATCCTTTAGTCCTTATGGACCATACTCCTACTGGATCATATCACTATAGTCATAGTTTTATATGCTCTTGTAAGTCCTTTAAATGACCACAAAAACCCAACATACATAACTTTAAAATCAACTAGAATTACATAAGGCTACTATGCCTCAATTACAGCTACTTAAACTTCAATTGCAACATTTAGTACATCCGTACACTCTTTAAACCAAGGATTACAACTCAGTTAGGGTCACTTAATAAAAGTCCAACCAAAATGTGCATGGAAATCGAACATACACCCCTTAAAGTTAAGTGCCCTAAAATTCAGCAGTATACAACGCAAAATTATACATGATTTCCAAATATAAACACCACAAGAGTCAATCTCCAAATTACATGTTCAAACATGTTCAAGTGCTCAATGGATCATGATCATGGGAAGCCAATTGGAGCTCAATATGCCTGGTTTACAGCCAAGGTCTTTATGACATACATAGAGTGACTATCCAGATTGTAAATCACAACTAAGCTAATTTCACATCATCATCTCAATGGGAAGCAATTAGCATCTTATAATCTACAATTTGTGTAGCACTTTAATAAAGAGAGCCCCAATATAACTTGGATCCAAAAATGGGAAAATCGTGGGAGAAGAAATTGACATGAAAATCACGTCAATTTGGCAAGAAATTAAGAAGCGTGGCATGGGAAAATTTTGTAGGCTTCATAGCCTTTAGAGCCCGTGAGAACATGTACATATATAATAAACGATGGTAAATTGTACACTTCATTGGGAGTGTATGATTAGTTGAAGGGTTAGGCGGCCTATGGCTTGGGTCATGTCCAAAACCCTTTCTCGGCATAGGCACTACTGTTGAGGGTTTTTGGAGGGTCATCCCTTATTGAGGTCAGAGAGATGCCTAATGATGGTTTGTAGGCTAGGAGAGCTTCATGGTCTCCTGTGCGTGGATGTAGGCCTATGAGATGAAGGGTCAAATCCTCAACAAAACTTACGCACAACATTTTTAGAAAAGCAACCCTTTAGAGAGTTATCTGTATATGTGCATGGAGACAGTCTCTTTTGCAATATAGTGATACAAGTCCTAGACCAAGTAGGAATAAAATTAATAATTCATTTTGAGCATAAACTTTATTCCTACTTGGTCTAGGACTCATATTACTTTATTGCAATTGGGACTCTCTCTATGCACATGTATACATAACTCTCTAAGGGGTTGCTTCCCAAAAATGCAGCTATCCATACGTACATGCTATGCGGAAGTTTTGTTGAGGATCGAGCCCTTGCTCTTATAGGCCTACATTCGCATACAGGAGACCACGAAGCTCTTCTAGTTCATTCTGTCAAGTTCTTTCTAAGTTGTTGCAATGCACCGCCAGATCTACCTTTTTTTTTGCCGTTTATTCTTCCTTTAGGCACCACGCTTGAAAATTTATAGAAATTTGAATTTATCTGAAAATTAAAATGTGAGATATTTTCATTGCCGCTACTTAGAAAAGAGCAAGATCGTCTCTAAAGGATACATCCTTACTTGTTAAGCAATTGCAAAGTAGCTATACATATGCACCATTGTGACTTATGGTCGCATGCAACCCTGTAAATTTGGGAATTTATTGCGATAGACAATAAGAACTGTATTGCATATTCTAAGTTTAGAAATTTTCCATAAAATGACCTTAAAGTGCCCTGAAATTTTCCGAATTTGAGGTTTAGGCTTTTAAACTCACGTACCTAGTTCTAATTTGTTATTAACATCAAAGAACTGAGTCTCAATTTTTAATGAGAGTTTAATCTTTGGATGTGCATGGTTGAATAAGAAAGATAAATAGGAACAAATGACTTAGAATTTGTACTTTCGCAAATGCGAAGTAACACATTACGTGACTTTTTTCTTAGCATATAATACTCAAGATTGCTTGTGGAATACATTTGGAGTATTAAATATATGAGGTGTATAACATACTTCTTCTTTCATGGTATTTGAACTTATTGGCCATGCCCTTAGTTGCATTTACTTTTAAATTATGAGTGATTCCAATTGACTATAGGCCTTTCAAAGCTAGAAGATTCCAATATTTGGAAAGGTCTGGATCTCATTATGCGTGTTAAGCTTGATTCAAGACACAAACACACAAATGTATTATGAATATGTGTCCCACATAGAAACCTACCGGCATTCAAGGGATCTTTATACGATGGCTGCAAGATTTTGTCCTTCCCTCCAGTGGAAAGGTGACTGTGGCATTAACCTTGACCTTAAAAGCAATAGGTTGACAAAATGATTATCACTATGGCTGAGAAAAAATGAGGTGTTAAATTTTGTATATTGGAAATGAATATGTATGTTCATCTTTCAAGAGGAATACCTTTTTGGATTTCCTTGCATTCTCCAACAGTTTGATTCCATTTGTGCTGATATTGTTTGACTTTCTGATTTTTATGCAGGAGCACAGCATCAATTTCTGAACAGTTCCACAGAAGGCCTTCTTGCTTTTTTATTTTAACTAATTCCCGGTCACTGGCTTCTGAGAAGGTAAGTGGGCCATGAGATGTTGCCTATACCATATGCTGCTAACACATTTTTATGAACATTTTTCAAGCCATTATTAAAGTTACATAATATTGTGTAATGATGCTATTTTCTCACTTAGTACTGATCCCCTTGTGAATTCAAGAAGTTAAAGAAAGTAAATTCCTTTGTTGATGGCCTCTCATGGAAATTTATTGTTTGAGTTTCAATTGTTTTTATCTTTTATAGGCTGCACTGTTGACAAAAGAAATATGTAAAAACATCGACATTTCAGCTAGATCAGTAGGAAACATTGATTACACTATAGTTCTGAGAGGTGATTCAACACTTCGTGGCCATTTCCCAGAGGTATGATTTTTCTCTTTGTCACTTTGTATTCCATTTGAGTTACTTCCATTAGGTTAATGATTAACTTTGCATTTGCATTATCATCATCATCATCATCATCATCCAAATCTTATCCCAATTAATTGGGGTTAGCTACATGAATAATGTTCCTCTATTCTTCTCTATCAAAAGTCATACCTTCACTAAGACCAAAAATCACCATATCTTTTCTCAGTACTTCTATCCATGTGCTTTTAGGCCTCCCTTTTGTCCTTTTAGAGCCTTCTACTTGAACTAAATAGCACCTTCTAACGGGGTGTTGTATTAAGTCTATATTGCACATGGCCAACCACCTAAGTCTCATTTCGCTCTCTTATCGCTATTGAAGACACACCTAAGTTCCCTCGTATATATTCATTTTGAATTCTATTTTTTTTTATCTTGCCACTGATCTATCTCAATATCCTCATTTCAGTCATGCTCTTCCTATAGATATGATGTTTATTAACCGTTCAACATTCCATCCCATAAAGCATGGCTGGTCTTACAACCGTCCTATAAAACTTTTCCTCCAATCCCAATGGTATGCGACGGATCACATAAAACTCCGGATGCACATGCACATCTCCACTTCGCCTCTATGTGCAACATCTTCCTCATACTTTGGATGCACATCTCATTTGCATTTGCATTAAAGACTGCATATTTATAAGAACACATGGCTATTACTATCTTTCTAGGAGGTGGATGCTGCTGCTTCTGTAATAGGAGAGGTAGATTCATGGATCATTTGTCCTTTCTTTCTCCAAGGAGGCCGTTACACTATTGGAGACATACATTATGTATCAGATGGAGATAGGTATCATATGTCGTCTACGCTAGTAGATTTTTGGTCAAATATTAGCTGACTATTTTTTTCATTCGGACTGTTCTATGTGCCAGGCTTGTTCCTGCTGGAGAGACAGAGTTTTCAAAAGATGCTGCTTTTGGATATAAAGCATCAAATCTTCGTGTGGTATATTTTGACTGCACTCCTTGGATGGTGGGTTTTCTACATCTTAGGATGATAAATCATTCTTTTTAATTCTGTTTAATATCAATGTTTAGTGGATTGAGGAGAAAACGAAGGGACGCATACCTGCCAATACTGTTGCATCTATATCCATTGATCTTTTACGCAGAGAAGGTCCAGCTGCAGTTTGCAAGTTTCTTTGCAACTTGCACAAGGTATTGCTATAAACTTATGCTTTATCCTTTTCTTGATTTGAATGAATGCTTGTATAATTTATGTAAAGATACATGTACACACATGCTCATAACCACATCCAAGCATAGCCAGTTCCATTCATTTAGACACCTTAGTGTAGAGTGCATATAACAGTGTCACCACTCTTATCATTTGGAAAATGAGATATGTCTCGTACCTTGAAGGTTCTAAATCCTAATATGTCCATCAAAGCCTGCATATTCAAGATAATCTGGTGGTTTAGGTTTCCGAGGCTTTACCTTCTTGATGATAAGAGAGTATTCCATGAGTTTTGCTAGGATTTTTTAGTCTGTAAATCAATTGGATTTCATCTTATTGGTTTTCCTTCTTTGTGAGTTTTCTTTGGCATGGTTTAATTGCTTTACTGCTCTATGGTGGTCCTAGTGCTCTGTATTGTATGTGCTGCAGTCATTATGACCTCATCAATATGACATGAGGCTGAACCCCTTAGAATCAGTCTACAACTCTTTTATATAATTCTGCTCTCTGAAGATATTCTGTTTACGCTCTAACTCCACTTCCTTAAAGAGCGATCTTATATGCCTTTAGGCATTAACTCTTTCTGATGTGATACCTCTTTTGGCAAGGGTTGAAAGTCATCCTTCTTGTTTAAATGGGGGTACATAAAGTTATCTTCTCAGATATGCCTCTTTCTTCAGATAGATTTATCTTCTTTTCCAATCCAACTTTTCAGAAACCTTTTTGTTCAGTAACTCTAATGACAAATGGAGGCATAATCACAGTATTAAATATTCGCACTTACACTGTCAATCTTATCTTGTTGTTGACAGGGATCAGTATGCATTGTCAATGCAGCTAGTGACCGTGACATTGCTGTATTTGCAGCAGGAATGATCCAGGCAAAGCACTGCTCTATTTCTCTTTGTATATTTCTGCTTTTTGTGCTGTAGACTTAATCATGGATTTCAATTACCTTATATGAAATAAAACTCTCCCATCCAATCCTTGATAGGCGGAAACAAAGGGATTGCGCTTCTTATGCCGTTCTGCTGCTAGCTTTGTATCTGCTCGTATTGGGATAAGGCCCAGGGCTCCCATTGGTCCAAAAGATCTTGGGATCCAATCTGAAAGAAATGGAGGCCTCATAGTTGTAGGTTCTTATGTCCCAAAAACCACAAAACAGGTTTGCATCCATTTTTCAAAATTCAGTGTTTCTGTTCTTGCTACATTATTTTATTGTGACTTGTGATAGCTGTACGCTATGTAGTTTCACTTGTGATAATGTCCCTTTTGCAGGTAGAAGAACTGAAAACACAATGCAGCCATTTACTGAAATGCTTAGAGGTGATATCGTAACCTACCTTCTTATGAAATATGACCATTTGTCAGTTTCTTTTTATAATTCACATCTCCTTGTTATCTTTACAATCTGAAATCTAGATGTTGCTTTGAGACAGATTTCTGTTGATAAACTGGCAATGAAATCATCAAAAGATAGAGAAGATGAGATTAATCGTGTGGCTGAATTGGCAGAAGTTTGCCTTAAAGCCAAAAAAGACACTCTATTGGTGACCAGCCGGGATCTCATTACGGGCAACTGTGAGTCCCTTCGTTTCATTTATTGTATTTCTGATTAGTGGCATGGTCTATTTCAATAACCATTGAAGCGAAATAATTTGTTTTATTTTATTTGCAATTTATAACTAGTTAACCATATGAAAATTTGTTGCTTCTTGCTAATGATTTGGACATTAAGATGTTTGCGACTTCTATTGTTGATGATTTCCATTTATTGGGTAAGGATGAATTTGAACTGTCATTATCTGGAGATCACATGGAAACATTTTGAGAAGTTGTGGAATCCCACTCTTAGCATGAGAAGGGTTCTATCGGTATATCAATTGGCTGGGGGAGTGGAAAGGCAATGGAGATTTTCTATCATAAAGGACAGAGTTTCCCTTTGATGTGATGGGAATAGCTGTTCAAACCAGAGCATGAAGGGGGTCAAGGGATTAGGAATGTCAATGCCATGAATAAAGCACTACTGAACAAATTGTGGAGGATGGGTGAAAAAGAGGGCAGATTGCTGGCTGCAATGATCAAGGGGAAATTCTGTACTCTGAGGCGTGGTGCCATTATTGTCACACCTTCAGCTAGAGTCTTAGCGGCTTAGAGAAAGATTTTTATGGTTAGCTCAGACTCCAGCGAGTCGCTCAGCCTTAGCAGCCTGGAATACCCAAGTGTACCTTGTACAATATTCAGGTGAGTCTTTAAGTACTTGTCTGCGTACTGTTCATAGCACAGTTTCAAGGGTCTCCGTTTTTCAATTGTTTTCTATTTTGACCCCTAGGGTTAGAGATTTGAGCCCAACTTGAGTCCTTAAAAATATTTTAGCATGTTCTATCTGCTAGTACCATTAGATTCGCGGCAAAACAATCCGATTGGATAGAATTTTGAGATCAAAGATTTTGGGTAAGGGTTTGCTTGATTTCAAAAAATGCGATTTATTCACTAGCTTTACTCAATCTTTGATGATATTTTATCCCAATGCCTATTTTTGGGTTCTTTATGCAGTTATATTACCAAAAAGAAAGTACTTGAGATTTTTGCAATTTGTATGTAATATTCATCCAAAATTTTAAAGAGCCTGAATATCCTAAGTCCAAACTCGAAACCCAGAACTGGTTAAGTGGTTCTGATTAGGGTTGTCTAAGGAAAGCTTTGACAAGGATTAGAGGCATCAATTCGCACCTAATGCGAAGACTGGGGGATCGACCCCAAATATTACAGTAAATTTCAATTTTTCAATTTAAATTCATGTATTTGATCTATTTTTACTAGTATCACTCAATCTAGTAATATTTTTGTTATTATTGCATTTTATCAATAACAAATGAGTAAAGATTATATTTTTATTTGATTTTCTTTTACACTGACTGACTTTTTAAAACTTGTTTTGATACCAATTATAGGGTTTTTCCCATCTATTAAATGGTGATCTATTGTACGCCGATGACCACCTCGTTTTTGGGAACACTAATAATCAATCCTACCATGCCCTTGAACACACTCCATACATCTTCCAGTCCATTACCGGGCTGAAAAAAAACTCATTTAAAGAAGCATATTCTTCATTAACTCCAATTTTCACAAAACCCAAATTAGCCAATTCCTAAACTGCAACATAACGGAACTTCCATTATTCCAAGGGAATCTCACCCCTAATCTTTTCCTGTCCTTAAAACCATGTCCAAACTTAGAGGTTTGAACCAAAATAATCTATACCTCCTTGAAAGACTTACCTCATCAACTCATGTCTCACTTCAATCCCGAATCATTGGTGTTCTACTTTAAAACTACCCTCAATCACCATAAATATCCTAAAGAAGCTACAAAGGAACCTCCATTGGGGAAACCAAAAAAACCAAAGACATCCAAATGTTGTTAAATGGAGTAATATTTGTAAACCTAAAAACGAATGTGGGCTTGGCATCAAAAGAATTAAATACATAAACACGTCTTTACCAGCTAACTTGGACGAGAATTGACAACTAGAAAACACTCCCTGTGGTCAGATCTGATAAGGAAAATGTTCCTTGGCAGATATCCAATAGGCCCCCAAAAGTCACTAGAAAAGGTTCTTGGGCCTGGAAAGGCATACATGAAACCCTCCCCACTTATAATAAGACATCCACCGGACGTTAGGTAATGAAATACCTACTTTTGTTCTGAATAATAATGGAAACTTCGCATCTCAAAGTGCTCATGAAATGCTAACAATACCTGAATGGCCATATGGAGAAAACCAATTCACCCTAGGTCCTCGTGGTAAAGAGGATAATCACAACCAATAGTGTGCATAGATGTGGACTCTGATTAGCTAATATCTACCACATATGTACGGATGATAATGAAAGTCATAACCGCCTTTTTATTTCATACAAATTTGTAAGCGACACATACAAAGCAATCTTGTGGAGGTTCCATAGGGCCACTATTGCCGGTTCAAGTATCCTTACTCTCCTAACGAATTGGTTCAAAAAGTAACTGACAAAAAAATACCTTGCCAAGATTTTGGAAGTCTCACTCCCCACCACCATATGGGTGAATTGGCAAGAAAGAAACCGAAGAGCAAAAGAAGACCGCAAGTTGTCATTCCATAGGGTTCTAAGGGAAGTAATTTGAAAAATCAATAATACGTTCCTGAAAGTATGTCCGTCTCACCTAAGGATGGAAGGGAAAGAACCATTTATAGAAGATGAAAAATTGAGCTCCTAAGGAGTATAATATTTGGAGTGTTTGTAGGGTGGACCTTTATAGATAGTGAGGATCTTGAGAGCTCTTTGTTTTCCCCTTTATTTTGTAATTGCACCTTGAAATAAAAAAAATAATAATACAAGGGTGGGGTGCTGCTCAAACCCTTTGCTAGGATAAAGACCTCTCTTGATCAAACAGGAACCCCACCCTGACACCTAGGATCCCATGTATATCGTCAACGCTCGCTTTTGTGCTAGAATATAAAGTGATATATTTTTGTTGTGGAGTCCTCTTTGTGAGACTATGGTATGTGTCTATAAGGCATTGTAGAGTGCAGCGCATTATATTATGTTATGCTTCACTCTTCATTGTCCTCAATTTGAATCCTTGACTTAAAAACTGATAGGCCTCATCTGAATTAGCACTAGAATAGTAAAATGATGTTAGCCACAATAGCATTTGTTGTTTCATCAGTTTTTGGGCAAATAAGTCAGTTTTTAACCATTTTTTTCATTTCAACTAATTTTCTATTTTTATAGATTTTTCGATATTATTTTGATTCAATTTTTTGGGGGGTCTTTTTTGGCCCTTTCCTTGGCTCGGTCATGATTAGGCACGTTTGAGTCAACTCAGGCTCTACAATTAGTGCCTTGTTTGAGTTTGCTTTACAAATCATTGATAATTAGTGCTCACTGAGATTTCAATTCCAATATTAGATTTGGTGTTGGGATAGGTCAATAGGGGTTTGCTGCGGTATAACATGTTTGGGTAGATTTGAGGATAACAGTGGACCCAAAGGTCAATATTTGTCAATATGATGAGCAGGACTATTGATCAATATGATGCCCAAATATCCTCAAATTGATCATCTCGACATCAAGATGCATGGACATGAGAAAAATATGGATTTCAAGTTTTGGAAATAGTGTATCTTGTAATGCATTTTTTGACCGTCAATTTTCAAGATTTTGAAGTTTCATAGATCTGATCGATCTACCCAATTTTTTAAGCTTGAAATTTTATAATTAGAGATAAAAATATATTTAAGGTTATCACAAAGATTTCCAGTACTGAAACCACATTTCTTGACACTATTTGAAGGTGCGCTTTACTTTGATTGTTTGGAGCCTCGGCTCTATACAAACCTCACCCTTTATATTGTTTAGCCTTTATTTGTTTTATGTCTCGAAATAAAGGAAGTATTGTCTATAAGTTATAATTAGGGTTATTACTTACTATTATAAGAGGGGTAAGCCACTCAATTACCCTTTCTATCTTTCTCTCTCTCTCTCTCTCTCTCTCTCTCTCTCCCTTCTTCTTTTCGTCCTTATTTTCTATTCTCCCTTTCTCTCTCTAAATCCTACCAAACTGTTTTCCTCTATACTTTAGTTTCAACTTGGTATCAGAGCCATACGATCGGTATAGATGGTATTGTAGCATGGTACTGTAGCAGATTGTTGTAGCATGTTGATGTAGCACTTCCTGTAGCACTTCCTATAGCACATTACTGTGGTAGGGGGTCGATCTTCAAAAAGGTACGCAAGAACGGTGTTTGGGGCCGACATCATCGTTTGGGTTAGATAATATCATCATGCCCCCCAACTCTTTTCCAGCAGTATATGTCACATCCCAAGTTTTATAACACTAATATTCTTGAGATGTGACAGTCTATTCTTAAACTATAGAACAAATTCAGAATTTCTACTATATATTTTATCAAAATTGATTTTTCCATTTGTTAAAATTTTCAAAATTATACAAAGTCTACTCACAACTTATATTGACATGAAGGTCTTAGATATGTACATCTTTTGATAGGACAAAAGTTACAGAGGTGAACTTGAACAAAAGTTACAAAGGTGAATTTAACCATGACTACAAACTTCTTCCAAGTTACTCCTGCTGTACATACGAACAATAAGGCTGCAATTATTTTGAAATGAATCCACAATAGTTTGATGAGTTTGGCTATTCAGTCATCATAATCATTAAGAATCATGGTTGGAAAATGTAGTTATTTTCTAAATGAGTGCATATTGAGAAAAATGGAGAACTGTTCAAATTTTTAGACAGAAATACACAGTTTTAACATAATTCAAAAGATATTTAACAATATGAGGAAAAAAAGAAATACATAGTTTATCATAATTCAAAAGATTTTACAAATACCCTACCAGCATCTCAAGTAGGTCACTTATATACCCCACCAGCATCCTGGATGGGTTCACTTAATCCCTACCAGCGTACCGGATAGGTCCACTTATACCTCACCGGCATACCGGATAAGTCCACTCAATCCCTACCTGTGTACCGAATAGGTTCACTTAATTCCTACCAGTATCCCGGATAGGTCCACTTAATCCCTACCGACGGCTCGGATAGGTCCATTTAATTCTTACTGGCATCCTGGATAGGTCCACTGTTACCTCACCGGCATACCGGATGAGTCCACTTGTATACTTAAAGTATCTTTGAAAACTCTTAAATATCAGGAAACAATAATATCATATACTCAATATATCCTTGAAATCATAGCACGAATTCACATGAAAACACTTTCACTAATGTTTCTTAAAACATTTTGAGCTCAATTTCTTAAGTACAGTTTCAGAAAGGTAACAATTATGAGAGTCGTTTTTTAAAAATTGATATCTTATACAATAAACAGTTTGTAGACAGTAGAAGAATCTTATGGAAATCCAGAGTTGAATACTAAATTTTCAACTGTCTAAAATCCTTAATAATAGATAGAAATATCACAATTTTATTAAAAGCAGAAATACCAGTTTTCAAATAACTATTTTATAGGAAAATGAGATCACTTACACATAAAACTTACAGTGTCTAAAATTCATAACAATTGACGGAAATGTCACAAATTTATTAAAAGTGGAAATATCAGTTTTCAAATAACTATTTTATAGGAAAATGAGATCACTTACACATAAAACTTATAGTGTCTAAAATTCATAACAATCGATGGAAATATCACAATTTTATTAAAAGCAGAAATGCCAATTTTCAAATAACTATTTCACAGGAAAATGAGGTCACTTACACATAAAACTTATAATGTCTAAAATTCATAATGATAGACGATCACTTACCTATACGTCACTCTGGGATGGATATGTTGTTACTGCTGTCAGATTAAGACTGGGATTAATGATGTTCAGCTAGAGGTATGGGAAGAGAGACCAAATGAGTTTATATAGAGAAAGGGACTATAAAAAAAATGTTCATATTATAAGAGAGAAATATTCTATGCTTATGATAGAGAGGATGGAATTCGTTGAAGAGAGAGAAAATAATGAACATATTTTACTATCATACTAATAATGAACATATAATTTTACTTATCATTATAATACTAATATTATAAGAGAGAGTGAGAGAGAATGAAATTTGTTGAAGAGAGAGAAAATAATGAACATATTTTACTTTCATACTAATATTATTTTATTATCATACTAATAATGAACTTATTATTTTACTTATTATTATAATACTAATATTATGAGAGCGAGAGAATAAAATTCATTGGAAAGAGAGAGAAATTAATATATATTTTACTATTATATTAATATTATGGTACTATCATACTAATAATGACCAATTATTTTACGATCATACTATTATTATGAGAGAGAAAGATAAAAATAATGAAAGCCTAATGAGGCTATCATTATAAAGATATTATGAGAATAATCATGCAAGAGAGAGAAACTTAATTGTAAGAAAATCATTTAAGATAGAGAGAAGAGAAGAAGCTTACATTTGAGAGGAGAGAGAAGACCCATTTATGATAGATTAATTATGGGTCAATGAGGGGTATTTATAAGTGAGAAGGTCAATCTTCATTTGACACATGTCAAACATGTCGCCTTTTTCCTCATATATATGCCACCTCATGACAATTATCACTTTATAATGACACATTATCACCTCATAATGACAAATCACTTTGTATTTAATTATCTTAATTTAATTAAAATAAAAGTGAAAAGGAAATTTTAGGGTGGTCCCAAGGTGCATTCATATTACAATGAACTATCACTATTTAAGTGTTTTATATTACTTTTATTTATTGTTTTGTTGTTTATTATTATTATTATTATTATTATTATTATTATTATTTTTATTATTATTATTATTATTATTATTATTATTATTATTATTTTTCAGTTCCAAAAACATTTTTAGGGCAATGGAGGTGAGTTTTGTTTTTTTTTTTTTATGATTCTGGATGGCGATCAAGTATTTATTTGAAAATCTAGTTGCTGAATGGATTAGGGTTTGTATGCCCTAATCAAAAAAGTGCTTTTAGTGCTGTTTTTTTATTTTTTCTAGAAAGGAAGTATGATTAGATCTGAGGGTGTAACCAGATCTGTAAAACCTTTTATTTGAAGAGATGAAAGGGTGTAATTTGATCTCAATTGTTGATTAAGATCTGAGAATGTAACCGAATATTAATTACAGTAGAGAATGCCTATGCAGACATCAAATATGGAGTTAATCTGGACCCCAAATCAAGAAAGCCAGATTTGATGGAACCAACAATTTAGAATGTCGGTTAGAATATTTTTTCGTGGAAAGAAAAAACTGGGATACATTAACAGCCATGTGGAAAAACCTGACCTGAATGATGTTAAATATGCAGACTAGGAGCTGAGGATATGCCTATTATGAATTTGGATACCTTTTTCTAGGCAGCCTAATATGCGTCAATCCTTTATGAACGACATTGCCTCTAAGGAATTATGGAAGGCAGTCTAAGTCCTATTTCCAAATGAAAAATATTGCTAGGGTTTATAAATTGGAGCAAAAAATCAATGATTTTAAATAGGGAGGCTTGTCATTGGGAGACTATTATGCTCATCTATGTGGTCTTTGGAATGAATTAGGCCGGTATCAGCCCATATGATGTTCTTGTGCAAAGGAACAAAGGGATTGTAACAAAGGAAGATTTTTTATCTTTTGGGGGGAGTTAATGGCGAGTATGAAATAATTAGGGCTAAGGTTCTCGGTGGCAGGATTTTGCCATCACTTGGTATTGTTTTTTCCCTTCTTTAGTGTGAAGAAAGATAATGGCAGTGTCTATGGGTGAAATTGAAATATTCGCCCTATTCACAAGTTTTACTAGTAATCGAGGCGGAGGATGTTTTCGAAGTTGTGGTGGAGGTTGAGGTGGTGGACATCCCCACATCTGATGAGGAGGACTAATTACAGTGCACCCATTGTGGGAAGACTTGACACACAAGAGAAACATGTTGGGATCTAGTTGGACACCCAAGGTGAACCCTTCCACGGGCAAATTCAGTAACAATCAGTAAAAGTACTGCCTCAGTTACTCAAGTGCAGCAAGATACCATTTCCTTTGAACCTCAAGAAGAGTTGATGACTATTTGATAGAGGGCAAAGTTATACTTATATTTAATTTCTATTCAATTTTAAAAGATATATATTTTGATTTTAGCCGACCCCAATTAATTGAAAAAAAGCTATGATGATGGTGATGATGATGATATTTTCATTTTAGTTTTTTTTTAAAATTTTAATCTTGATCCGTACAGAGCACCGGTTCTAAAGGGTTTGGGCACCAATTCCCAGTGTCCTGCCAGCTGCTTCAGTCTTAATAACACTGGACTGTGGTTTATTCTTGCTTTTTCTGCACTAAATTACTCTATTCTATTCTACTATACTGAAATCTTCTGTTGTGCATTATATGATTGTCTTTAATCCCTTCCTTGAATGATATTTTAGACACTTTGTGTCATGTAATTTTAGTTATAGGCCATCACCATTTCATAATGAATTTTTGGTTCATCTCATAATTTTTTTACTATATGTTCTTTAGTTTTCTAAGTGCTTGCATATAAAGAGGTCAATCCGCCCAAGTGCTTACGTATCATTTTTTCTATCTTATACTTCTTACAAGTTTCCTCATGTTTCCTTTGTGATGAGTTGCATGCTGTATTAGTGGTTTTGAGTTTTTTTTTTTTTTAATAATTGTTATTATTAAAAGATTCTTGATGTCAAAAATATTGATCCCACATTAAAAGGGAGATTTGTGGTTGTTTTGATATTTTTGTGAATACAAATCTCGGTGTTAGCCAAGGACTTTCTTGTCCCATTAAATATCGTAATCCTTGAAGGTCATGAGCAGTCTTTTTGTTGGTCTTGCATTTATTAGGAAATTCATGACAATTCTCAAATATTATCCTTGCAAATTTTACTACCAATATCATATCACAATTGACAATTCATAATAGTACTTGTAACTGTAGTTTATAAATGCTTTTATATTAGGAAATTCACCATTGTAAAGTTTTCGAATTTTTCAGCTCCTTTTGAGAGTTTAGATATAAACTTCAAAGTCAGTTCTGCTTTAGTGGAAATTGTTCGGCATATCCAAACAAGGCCACGTTATATCCTCGCAAAGGTATGAAGTTATTTTGTAATTATCATCATTATTGACTTTCAAATCACTTATAGTAAAGAGTGAACATGTTTCTTATTTGTCATTATCATAATCAAAGAATGATTGTTTATGTTTCACACACCCATTCATTAGAATTATTTTTTCATATGTAGCTTTTTTTGTGGAAATGCAACACAAGTACTCTTTAATGTTAAAAAAATCCATAAAGGACGACCTATTGATAGAGCTTACTTTGATCAAATTAATTGGGCTTCAAGAATCCCTTGATTTTCATATAAACAGATAGGCCATTGTTGGTACCATAATTGTTGGGCACGGGAGCAGGGGTAGGTTTGCCACATGCTAGAAGCTCCTTGGGTCAGAGTACCAAGGGGAGATTACATTATTAATAATTAAAAAAATTTTGTTTAATTTTATGAAGTCTTTAAAAAAAGGTTTGAGAAAACCTTGTTGGACGTTATATTATTATTTACATATTGAACCAACTTTATGTAACAAAAAAAGGCAAAAAAGAATTTAAAAACATTCAACATATTTACAAGTCAAAGGACTTAGAATAACAAAACATTGCAAGAAACTTCTTTTTCATTAACTAAATAAATTTTCACTTTACGTTTAGAACCCTCCAAAAACACAAGAGAGAAAGTAGCTTTTACCATAGGTGTGAAAGACACTGAGATGGAGAGATGGAGAGATGGAAAGAGTGAGCATGGGGTGAGCATGGGATCAGCTACATGTCTTGACTAAATCTATCCTGTCCTCTCATCGCCCCTCAAGCAGCTAGGAACGTTTGTTGCATGAATCTTGAGGTAGTTACCCCACATTATTAGCTTGATTTGAACTAATCGGGGGAATAACAATTCTCAAAGCTGGAAGAGTAGGCCAATGGGTATCATTTTCAGCAGCAAAGTGTGCACGAAGCCTTTTGAGCATTCTATCTCTTGTACTTGAATTTATAGTCGTTCATCTTCAGTTTCTTCTAAGTTTGCCTCCATGTTGCCCCCCTCTGTGAAGTACTTGCAGTAGTTGGTTGATCTAGTGGCCCTCCTGACGTTAGAAGCTGGACATAATGCCTCCTTAACCACATCCTCTTTCAAACCCTCCTCAAGGAAAACCTCTTCTGTCTCAAGGTCAACACCTACCACTCACTAGCATTCTCCATATCCTTATAGTGATGAGATCCCTCTTCTCATTCTAATTAAATTTCCTTGAAGCCTTTAATTATATTTGATAAATGTTAAATCATTGAGCCTTCTTTGCTCAAGCCTATTCCTTATATTTATATGCACCTAAAAGAAAAAAAAATGCATCAATACTAAATGAGCCATCTAAAATTTTAAATTTAGACCTAGAGAGAAATAACAACATAAAAGTACAATTAATATTGTATCTTCTATAATAGAATAATAATGTAACTTGTAAACAAGAAGACAACTAAATATACCATTTAAAATTAAGTCCAATTTCGCTCACAATTAGAAGAGCTAGTTGTTAAACTCAAGATCCGAATACCTATCCTTTGGAAGTATGGAGTACCACTCTCATGCTGATGCTGGGTCCACTATTGGGCTACAAATTGCGTACAATCTCTATAATTAATTTAGTTTTATCATAAGTCATTTCCATACTTATTTCTGTACTTATTAGAATATTTGAAATTATGCATTAGAGAAATTAGATATAAATTTATGAAAGCTAAAAACTTTTAAGGTTACATTAACTTGTACCTTCAAAGAAAATTTCAAATAAAATACAGTACCTAGATCAAATTTGGTCTTTTGCCTCACTGCCATTTCGATTTAAATGCACTTTTGTACTAGATCAATTCCTTGGGAGATATCTTATTTGGGATCTTTGGCTCAGGAACAAGTCTCAAGGCACTCGTTATATCCATCCATGATTTTATCCGTGCTCTCATCTTCGAGGTCAGCATTAAAAAACTTAAGGTTCAATAGTACCCTACTGCATGTAATGGTCTATGAACCTGCCTATCCCACTTTCCATCTTTTATCTCCCAAATTGAGCCACTTGTCCTCATAATTGCTGAAAGCCTGTGCTATTCCTTCTTAGCTCCATCTAATGCATCACATGTAAAGCTCATTGAGGACTTGTGACTATCAGCCAAGTGCAAGACCTTGACTATAGGCAAAAATACTCACAGTAGTACCTTACCCTACCTCAAAAAACCTTAGTGAAAATAATATCACAGGCCCTCTTTCCAATGGGATCTTTAGACGACTTGCATTTACCCCAATCCTCTAAAGTGAACATTGATCTCAATGGGGTCCTTTTGTCATATATGCTTTTGACTCAAGGAAGTGGTTGCAAAACTAGTGACCTTGGGCCTCACTAGATCCCTCCTTTTTGTGAACTTGTGATCATGCTAAAAGTGATGAGTGGTTATATATGAAAACTATGACATCCTTAGCCTTAGAAATTGTCCCTTTTACACTTGGAATCTCCCTAATAGCCTCAAGCACGAGGTCTATGCAATCTCCCATGCAAGGTGTCCAAAATATAGGAGGCCTCTTCTAGTGATGCTAATGACTAACACTCCCCCCGCAATTTGTACATCATGTTTTTGACATGTACAACTTGCCCGTCAAATATTGATGTTGTTTATGTTATAATCCTTTTATAAATACCTCTGTTATTTGATCTTTTATCTCCATTGTTGGATTTATGGTCTTTCAAGGCCTTAGAGCTAAGAATCTCTCCCTCAGTAGGACTGAGCGTGAAAAGATGATTGTGGGTGCTTGGCGCACTGGGGCACAAAATTATATACCCCAAGTACATGAGGCAATGAGTGACTTCAATGGGAGAGAGAGATTACTTGTGGAGGTGTGAGGGTCACCTCCAAGGCAAGGCTATATTTGTGAGTGTGCCTCATGGTTGGTGTGTTTGGCTAAGACTAGGAGAACAAAAAGGAGAATATAGAACCCAAGTATCTTCAAAGTAACAACCTTGTGTAGGATGGTAATGGCTCACAGGACATGAGTCCATACCCCTGACATGAGACCACCCTATGGCATGTGCACTCACAGTCTGAAGCCACTCTTCTGGTGTATGATACGATTAAGAAGAGTTAGTGCTCATGTGCCTTGAGAGGGCCCCTGTGTGTGAGTACTTTTATATCTTCAAAGGTGCACCTGTAATCCATTGTGAAACAGGTGATGGAAAGCTTGATTGGGATGACTTTGATGAAGCTGGATTATGCATCCCTACCATACACTGTGGAGCATGGGCTTGTTGGGTCATTCCGAGATAAGTGGCCATTATTCCGAACTAGCCCAATAGAGTACTCTGATACCTAGATCTAAGCCTAGAGGTCTCATTTACTAATTGTCCCATTTTATTATGACGAGAAAATGTGTACATATGGTGGAGAATCAATTGCAGTATTTTTGGGAATTTTTGAGAAATTTTTGGAATTTTTCAGAGCAAAAAATGTAGTTTTTAAAATTGCTTGGTGGTAATTTCAAGGACAGCTTATGGGGCGGTCCCACATGAAAGTTGGACATGGTGAACTAGCACGGTATATGTAGTTTAAAATTTTTCTTTTTTCATCTGACTAGAACACTTACAGATGTTGAAATAATACAAAATAAAATAGAAACACAAAATGGATTCTCACTTGCTACCACTTAATACAACTCTTTTATTTCAAGAGAAAAAAAACATAAGATTGACTTGGGAACAAGAAACACAAACTGCATAAACAAAGATTAAAGTGCCAAAAGATCAGGCCACAAATTGTGTTGTATGGGGCGAAACACACAATTGGACTCGATGCACCCCACTGGGGTCTCCTCTGATGGGGCACGGGATCAAGGCCTTTCTCAAATTTTACAATTATGGGAAGCCTAGGCTAGAAACCCGTCAATGGTGAGAGCAATGTGGAACAAGATCAAGCTATAAATTGTGTCTATGGGGTGTGCCCCTTTGGCCTCAATGGTTGGGGCATGGCCCTCTTTTCTTTATCAAAATTTTTCTTAGTGTTACAGAGAGGCCAGAGAGATGAGAGAGATCAGAGGGAGAGAGAGAGTGGCTTGAGGCTCTTTTGAGGGGAGAGAGAGAGAGAGAGATAACAATGATGAGAAATATTCATGTATCTTAGAATGCTACATTATTAACGAGCATAAAAAAGAAAACAATGATGCACCCATATTGTTTTGAATCCTTATGTTCTCCAGGGAGGCATCACCTCATCAGATATAGCTACAAAAGCTTTAGAAGCACGACTTGCTGTTGTGGTTGGACAAGCAATGGCTGGTGTTCCCTTGTGGCAGCTAGGTTCTGGGTGCAGGCACCCTGGTGTTCCATATATTGTATTTCCAGGTGAACGCACTGTTAAGAACTGACTATCTCCAAAATGCCCAGTAACAGATGAATATCCATTAACTCTAAGATGTCATCATTTCCTAGGTAATGTTGGTGATTGTAATGCATTGGCAGAAGTTGTGAAGAATTGGGCAAGTCCTTTCCAATCTTTCTCAACAAAGGAAATCCTCCTTGTAAGGGCTGTATATTATTTTCAGCAGTATTTACCCAAAGATATTTGTAATTTGTCAATTCTTGCATTAACGATACTATCTTTATGAAGGCTGCTGAAAGTGCTGGATATGCTGTTGGCGCATTTAATGTTTATAATCTGGAAGGAATTGAAGCTGTTGTGGCTGCTGCTGAGGCAGAAAGAAGCCCTGCTATTCTCCAGGTGATATGCTCTGCCTTTCATGAATATTAACTGTGCTATTATTATTTTCTTTAGATTGAAGTGAACTTTGAAATTTCTAACAAAAGTTCACATGTTGCGCGAGTTTGATTTTTTATTTACTTATATATAATATGCTGATAATAGTGAAGCCTTCATACTAATAGCTAGGTGTACCTATTGTCACACTTAAGAAGCTTCTTAATTCCCAACACTACTTTAGCATCTTCCTTTTCTTCGCTTTGATAACATTTCACATAGGATCAGAGCAGTGCATCCAAATGTCATGGTCTACCCAATCCTACTCTTAATAAGCATCTCGCAAATCCCATTTCTCCATCCTTTTTCTCTCCTTTCCATTCTTCCCTTCCATTCATCCATCCACCTACCTAAAAGACAGGAGAGATCAAATCGTATCCCTTTCCACATGAATCTCATAAAGAGGAAAGCTCTTCACTGTTATCTCTCAAGAAATATATAGGTTTTTTCCTTCCTAAATTTTTATTTTGTCTTAAAAATAAAAGTATGATATCCAATCTCCCTTGGAGTACATTCATGTGATCTCATGATATTGGAAACAAACCAGCGGCATCCCTTTTTTATTACATCTTCTTTTCCGCATGACTGGATCTTCTTCTTCTTAGTGAACTCTTTGGAAGTGAATTCACCCCAATCAGCACTTCGGAAATCAATGATGTCACGGGAAAATTTGTTCCAAAAAAAAGATTTAAATTGATGAAAAACAGTGAAACTTCTTTTTATCAAGAAAGAAGATCCAAATGTGTCATCCGTAATCATAAAAATTTAACATAGTATTTGGTATGAGCAATGGAATTTTTGAATCGTTAGAAGGTCCCCATACTTCAGAATGAAACAACTCGAAAGGATAAATAGCTTGTTTATTATGAAAAATAAATGGAAGCGCTTATCTCTTGCATAGAAGACAATTGGAACATAAAACGTTGTTGGACCTGGGCTTCAGGGCCCCTACAGCAAGCCTCTCAATAAAACTATGATTACAATGCCAAGACAATGGTGCCAGTCGATGCTTTTATTTGACTTAGACAAGCCAACTGCAGAAACTACATCTGGGGTGGACTTTAAAGTTTAAACTTCTTTTAGATGGTAGAGGTCCCCATGTATAAATTCACCATATACACAGGAGGGAGAGAAATTCACCATATATAAATTCACCAACAAACATCCCTTCATGTATAAATTCACCATATACACAGGAGGGAGAGAAAGACGTAAGAATTACAACTATCAATTAACTGAGAAACTGACAAAAGGTTACACTTAATGTGGGGGGAAAAAGTAAGTATTTTGGAGAGATAAGCATGCAGAATGGATGAGTGCTTTACCTGGGTGATTGTAGATATGTTCGGATTGCTATTCATATACCTTCTCTGTGATAAGACCATCATATTCCACTTCTTTTGTATCTTGATTTAAGTGGGAGCACATGATGGGGAAAAGGATATAGCTCGGGATGCTCATCAGGCTTAGTGCCCAAAAGTGGAGCAATAGTCCGGAGGGATTAGACTGGGATATGGCCATTCTTTCTTGTGACCTCTAGTGCTTTGTAGCACTTACGTGAGTCACCTTCAGGATTTGCAGCCGAGGCTCAGGATGCTCCACGTAAGTGTGTTAATACATGGAGTCATAAAACCCTTAGGTTGTCGTGGCATGAGGCATTTGTCCTGAGTTATTCCAAAAAGGGTTATAAACACGCTCAGTGATATGCCCATCATATTTAACTTCTTTTTTATCTTGATTTAAGTGGGAGCACATGATGGGGAAAAGGATGTAGCTCGGAATGTTCATCAGGCTTAGTGCCCAAAAGTAGTGCAATAGTCCGGAGGGATTAAACTAGGATATGGTCATTCCTTCTTTTGACCTCTAGTGCTTTGTAGCACTTATACGAGTCACCTTGAGGCTTTGCAGCTGAGGCTCGGGATGCTCCACGAAAGTGTGCTAATACATAGAGTCATAAAACCCTTAGGTAGCCATGGCATGAGGCATTTGGCTTGAGTTATTACCAAAGAGCGCTATAAACAACCTCAGTAATATGCCCATTGGTTTTGGCCAGGATGCTGGGGTTTTACTACTGTGTGAGGATCGATGAGGCTTGTGAGGACGAGGGCCAAAAACTCGACAATCGATCCCATGTCGTGCAAATGATAGTCACATATGGGAAGCTTCCCAATTGATGAAACATGTACTTGTTCCTTGAAGACATAATACCTTGCCCTTGTGAGTGTGATAGTCATCCTTAATTGGGCAAGACTTGTCCTCTAGGGCGATACCTGAAATCCATGGTTAGGTGTTGAGTCCCACCATCTATTGGCCAACTTTGATAGACCTTGCGGTACAGATTGTCGGTCATGGGTTCTGTTGGTTGGTTTGAATATGGTGTGATTGCTTCGCATACTAAATGAATAGAGTGTCGTACTTACAATAAGATTTTAACCTTAGGCACTATATTTTCTTTATTTGTAACTTTTCCTTGGCAGATCTTAATTGAAATATGAAGAAACATTTAGAAATGAATTTGGAAAATATTGCAATTTTTAGAAAACTATTTTTCTGTGGAAGAATTGGTGTGAATTGCTTATGCAGAACAATTCCGGAAATGACCTTCAGTTGTTGAGCCCAATTGGACCAAAATGTACAGGACGCCGCTAGTCATGGGCCTCCATGTGGGCCCAAATGATTGGGGTCCACTGCCTCCAACCTCTTCTAAGGAGTGATGTCATGATGATCTCTCTCTCTCTCTCTCTCTCTCTCTCTCTCTTATATAAGGCAGGTTGAAGTGTGTTGGCTCATCTTGAGGCATCGAAAAGGTTTCAAGATTAGATGGGATAAGGTGAGCTGTCAAGTATTATGTCATTTCATGATGTCATAGTGGTGGATGATGTAATAAGTCAAATTTAAAGAAAATAAGGGGTTAGGATGTATATCAATCTGTTCTCATGGTTGGATGACTAGAGATTGGATGGCCAAGATTTGGCCCATCTCTTTACACCAGGGATCATACTAATAATGTCCCAAATTGCTTCCTGCTTGCTTCCTGCAAGCATGTGAACAAGAATGTTCTAGAGTCTTGGAGTTCCCCTTACCTCACACTGTAAATAGAAGGCAACTCAATTCAATTTGAATTGAATTGAAAACCCAGTCGGCTCTCTCAACAAATGCTTAGACCATGCCTCTCTCTTTCTCTCTCTCTCAAGAAAAATTATTTGTAAACCTCAAAAAGTGTTCCTTTTTTGCTAATAAATTGGTATTTTGGGGTTTTGTGGTGTCATGTTGAGGGGTCAAGATGGATACTACCAAAGTACAACATTGTAGACTAGACATCCAAAGCAGTGACTGAGATGAGAAGTTTCCATGGTTTAGCAACATTTTACAGGAGGTCTATTAGGAAGTTCAGCAGTGTAATAGCATCCATAACTGATTTTACAAAGAAAGGGGTGTTTGAGTGGAGTGGACTATAGCTGCTGAAATTATCTTGAAATTGGTGAAAAAAAAGGATTGCAAGTCCTCAGGTCCTTGCACTTTCAGACTTTGAAAAGGTCTTCCAAGTAGAGTGTGATGCCTCAAAGGTGGGAATTGGAGGTGTCCAAAGTCAAGAGGGCAGACTTGTCACCTTCATTATCGAGAAGCAAAGTGGGGTAAAGATTAATTGTTCTACTTATGATGTGGAGTTTTATGTGGTTGGTCAAGCCTTGAGACATTGGAGGCACTACCTCATTCAAAGAGAATTTATCTTATTTTCAGAAAATGAAGCTTTGAAGTATCTGAGTGCTCAAAAGGAACTAATTCGTAGGCATGCTAAGTGGACCTGTTACTTACAAGAGTTTACTTTCGTCATCCGCCACAAATCAAACAGCCAAAACAAAGTTGCTGATGCCCTTAGCTAGAGCTGTCACCTCCTTTGTATTTTTGCCGCCTTAGTTGTGCGTTTTGAGTCCCTACCTCAAGCTTATACTATTGACCCTTCTCTAAGATCCTTGAGCAACTTGCACAAGGAAAAAGGGAAACATGTGTTGTTTTTGTTTTGCAGGATGGCTTTCTCTTCAAAGGGAGTGGGCTTTGCATTCCTGAGGGGCCACTTTTCATCAAAATCATGGGTGAGATGCATGATGACAACCTTAATAGTCACTATGAGTGGGATAAGACCATGAACCTTGTAGAAGCAAAGTACTTTTAGACCAAACTCAAGAGAGGTGCCAATCAATTCATTGAGTGTTGTCGAGTGTGCCAATTACTGAAGGTCGATCCCAAAACACCACTTTTTATATTCCCTTACCTATCCCCGATCGACCATGGACAAATGTAAGTATGGACTTTGCGATAGGACTACCCTGCACGTCAAGAGGGATGTGACTCTATCTTTGTGGTGGTAGATAGTTTCTCTAACATGGCCCACTTCATCCCATGCCAAAATTCTTTAGATGCGACTCAAGCGGTAGATCTCTTCTTTAAAGAGGTGGTGTAGGGTTTTTTGTGGCCGTTAAAGGCCTAGAGAGCTTGTAAAAATGATATATAGTAGAATATGCACTTCAGTTGGAGTGTGTGTGTTGACTGACCAAGGGTTGGGCGGTTTATGGCCCTAGTCAAAACCCTTGGCCATGGGCATGTGGCACAACCGAGAAGGGTTTGAAGTGGGTCATCCCTTGTTGAGGTCGGAGAAATGCCTAGGGATCATGTTTGTAGGCCAGGAAAATTGTATGGTCTCCTGTGTGCGGTTGTAAGCTTGTACGAGCAAGGGCCAAATCTCCAACAAACTTCCACAGAGCATGTACACATGACAGCCGCATTGGAAGCAGCCCTTTAGAAGGACGCGTGTACATATGCATTGAGACAATCCCCTTTGCACTGTAGTGAAAAGTACTAGACTTGCTCTTAAAGGGGGGAACTGAAATCCACATTCCAGGATCATGCTCCCACTATTTATTATCCAAATTTGACAAGCCAATAATGAGCCCATGCAAAAAAAC